CATTTGGTTGTCAATAACAACCAAAAATTCATTTATAATAAACAGCGAAAAACACGCAAACAATATAAACTGTATATGTCGAATAATAAATGTTTATAGAAAATATACAAAAAAAAATTTAAAAAAAAGTTATTTTAAACAAAGATAATAATAGCAACTGAACCACATCTGGTAACGCAAGACCATACTGGTCGATATGTAGCTCGGCTTATTGGCCTACCACATTAACCAAACATAAAAAAAATAATTTATAAACAAAAAATGGAAAAACAAAATTTGAAAACATATATCAGAAATTTTAATGCCAAAAAGAGTATACCAAATTAGGTGAAACAAGAAAAAAAATATTTTAAGCCAGAAAATGCAACGTGAAGAAAAAAAAGTAATTGGCATAAAATTAAAAATTATTTAAAACAAATTGTAAAAATGTTTTAAACTTTTACTTTGTTTATTTGTTATTTTTCTTTAATTGGGTTTGGCCTTGATTTTAAACAATTTATAAGCAAGAAATTTTAAAATCAAACTAGGCACAAAAGTAATAAAAAATTATTAAAACAAAAATTGATATTTAAAAGTATTTTTGTAAGGAATAAATAAAATAATGTATAATATGTAGTTAGAATATCAAAAAGGTGATAGAAAAATTAGATGAATTAAGGAAAAAATATGTCCCAATAGAAAAAATTATAACTATTTAATCATAAAAATGTGATAATCGAATATTTTCAAAAAGAAGGTCTCAAATATGTGTGTACAAATATACAGAAAAGATAGGAAAAATGTGTAATTATTAAAATTACACAAAAAAAAAATAATAATACAAAGATTTTTCAAAAATATTTTTATCCAAAAAATATGTATTCATTAACAAGTTGGTAGTTTTAAATTTATTATAAAATTCTACAAAATATATTAGGAATATAAATAATACATATGATATAATTGTTAAATATTTAATTAATAAAATATGTGTATAATCACTTTAAAATTTAAAAACGGTTTTTTAATACAGTCGTTAAGGAGAGGTAACCACTTTGAAGTAGAGAAAAAACAGTTTAGTTAGTTCACCTCTCAATCTACCTGTCCAGTTATTACTAGACATCAAAAGTTCTCATCAGTTCGATATTAGAAATCATTAAAAAAAAGTCAAGGCTTGTTAATAAAACTGTTGAAACAGTCCAAACAGATGCCCATAAATATTAAATTAATACAAGCATTGTTGTCATCGAGGAAACCGTAGACCTGCTGAAACACTGATTTTTTGACGTGAGGTGCTATAAGCAAAGCGGATGAAAAGGATGAGAACGATGAAAAGTGCTTAAAAATTAAAGAAAGCAAAGTGAAACTCCTATCAAAACAACGCGGAAAATTGTACATTATTCAAAAATGACTAGAGATGTTTCCTTGGTAAGTTAAAACCATTCCAGCAGTTCAGGCTTAAAGATTACTCCGACAGCTTGATAAGGGAAGAGGCTATAGATTATTCAAAAGTATGCAAAATAGAAAAAACCTCATGGCTCAGCTTCAGCGCAGCTATAGTGTGAGCTAACGCTGAGTCATAACGGCTTTCGAGTCAAAATGGGAACTAATTTCAAACCTCACGCATGCAAAGTAACCTGTAACTCTCAACATACTTAGGAAAAATAAAAATTTAGAAACCGATAAACTATCGATGAAATCTTTATTATAGATTACAAAGACGCATAACGGTGCTTGCCTTCATTCGATTGCTTTATAACGCATATTTCAATGGACACAAATCGCCACTTACCCTGCGCATGCAACAAATGATGCGGCGGATGCCCGTGTGTGTGGTGTGACTGCAGTTGCAACTGGTGATGATGATGGTGATTGTGATGTTGCTGCAATGCATGCAAATTGGTAGTATGCTGGGCTGCCGCAGCACCGCCACTACTTAGATTATGTGGCAAAAATGCAGCTGCCACAGCGGCATGTGCATTGAAGTAGGCCATGCGTGAGGCAGCAGCGGCAGCCATTGTCATCTGGTGATGATGATGTTGCTGTTGGTGTTGTTGTGCAGCATGCTGCTGTTGTTGCTGATCGGCGGCAACACTAAACGGCCCTGCTGCAATACTGCCATTTGCCGCCGTGGTGACCACAGACGCCGACAGTGCGGGCGCACTGGTGCCCACTGTTGCGGTCGTGTTTAATGAAGTGGTTGCGCTGCTAGCGCTGCCACTGCTGCTGCTATTGGCAGCCAACGCTGGCTGATTGGGCGATGGCGTACGCGTCGTTATTGCCGTGGGTGGTGGTGTGCTGTCAGTAGATGCTGTTACAACAGTTTCCTTTGTTTTTGTAGACGGCGTGTCGTGGTCCTTCAACGCGCTGACGCTTTCGCTGGGTTCGTGTGTTTTAGCGACGGCTGCAGCCACAGCGGCTGCTGCTGCGGCGGGATTGCTCAAGCCGAGCAGCTCTTGTATGGCGAATGGTGAACGCTGTGGCATATTTTTTCTTTTTTTTTGATGTTTTTCCAGAAAAAAGAAATTGTTTGTAATTTTAATTAGCTTAATTAGTCCAGCGTTGATTCTTTTTTAATTTCACTTGCACAACTTTTCACTCGCTTTTAAAACTTTGTTCAACTTTCACTACATATGTTTATTTGTTTATTTTTTGTTGATCATTTGATCAGCTGAATTGGATAAATGCAAAATATAAGAAGTGTTTAAGTGTACCGAACCCGCGTTGCGGCGGCACAGACATTAAAACTTAAGATATTGGAACCAAAAGATGAACTCTAAATTGTTCTCTAACATTCTTCCTCTTCCTTACTGGCGTAGACACCGGTTACGCGGTTATAGCCGAGTTTCTCTAATATTAATTTCCTAAAACTCATATTACAGACGATGGTCTTTATAAGTAAAAATAGCCGAGAAGACAGCGTTGGCCAAGTGAAAAAGGGCTTAACACACTTATCAAGAAATAGGCTTAAATCTAATAAAATGTTTAGCACCGTTCTTAGTTAGCGGAATAGGTTAAATATACGAAGTAACGGTTAACAAGAGAAAGCTGAATGTTTTATAATTCAAATTCTTTGGACCCGTTCGGGACTGGATTTGAAATTTATAAGTCTGGATGTAAATAATGGCTGATTGCAATTAAATTTTGAAGTAATTTCGTCAGAAAATATTTCTTGTAAAATATTTCGTTGTCAAATCCATTAAGTTGGTTATATTTGGTAGGCTATTTAAAAGAAAACATATGTATTTTTTGCAACAAACTAATCAAATACATAGAAAAACAAACTTTTAAAGGAAAAAATTGATTAAAAGATTTTTAGAATATCGAATTTAAATAAAAAATAAATTTTTTAGGAACAAGTAGATAATAATTATACACAGAAAAAAAATGTGACGGAAATAATTTTTTTTAGGAAAGATGAAAATTTTTAAAGAAAAATTTTGAGAATATTTTAGAAAATTTTTAATAAACTATTTATAAATAATTTTATATTTATTTAGAAAGTTATTAGTGTCTCTATGAAAAATATATGTTTTGATAAAGAGTAATAATAGTCCAAAGAAAATATTTTGGGAGAAATAATAATTATATACATACATAGCAATTTGGGAGGAAAATAAATTTTTTAGGAAATTTTAAAGCAAAAAAAAAATTTGAATTTTCGAACGTAGATTTAAAAAAAAGGAAAAAGTTGGAATAATTTTTGTAGGGAAATTAATTAAATTGAATATATTTAGAAAGCTATTCGTATTTAAAACTAAAAAATTTAAAAAAAAATTAGAATTTTCGACCGTAGATTTAAAAAAAAGAAAAAGTTGAAACAATTTTTGTAGGGAAATTAATTAAATTGGATATATTTATAAAGCTATTCGTGTTTGAAATTAAAAAAAATTAAAAAAAAAAATTACAATTTTCGAAAGTAGATTTAAAAAAAAAAGAAAAAGTTGGAATAACTTTTGTAAGGAAATTAATTAAGTTGATTATATTTGGAAGCTATTCCAGTTTTTAGGAAAAAACATAAGTTTTGAAAAAACAGTAACAATAGTGCAGAGAAAATATTTTGGAAAGAAAAAATTTAAAGAAAAAAATAATTGAAACAAAAATTTTTTAAAAGAAAAAAATTTTTTTTGGCAAAAATATTCAACATTCATTCAAGTAACGATATTGAGAAAATTATACTTTTTTCACATTCTGTACACAAAACCTAATAATATTGTGAATTGTTTTTATATATCGAAAAGAAAGGGTACAAAAACCGAAAACAAAATAGAATATAAAATTATGGATTGTTTTATAGAACGAAAAGAAGGGGTTCAAAAGCCGAAAATAAAATCAAAAAACTAAAAATTTCGACAAAAACTATTAGCAACTCTTGTACAGACAGACATAACTCTATTGAAGCACTTATTTAATGGCACAACTCAGCAGTATTACTTTAAAGCTATACGAATGAGCACTAAATTTTATAAAGTAAAATATAAATGCATATTAATTGATAGATATACATATCATAGCAAGTGTTAAGCAACAATTATATTAATTTGCTCTAAAACGCCTTCGAAGGCAACTTTTTAGTCAAATAGTAGCAGCCATGCTTTCGTTACTTATAGAAACACCACACTGACGCCTCTTATACACTTGCACGAAGTTACAATGCGTCACGCGTATTTTTTTTTTTTGGCTGCGTCGCAGCAAACGTAAAATATTAACTAGCAATAAACCGGTTTATTTGAGCGCGCACATAACAAACACACAAACGCACATACGTATACGCGTGAATATATAGCGCTCCAAACCGAACACACTGTGAGCGCATACAGAAAACGCTTCAGCACATTGCCGCGCGAGCAGGGTAATCAACAGCGCAACAACTGTAAATAACGCGCTGAGTGACGCGTTTAACACGAAGCCTACTTGAATGGCGCGCTAGTTAATGCTTGGCGCACGTAAGTACAATAATTTACGTAAATTTTTGCAAAAATGCTAAGCGTCGATAATTTCGCATAAAATACACAACAAATTCGCCATAATTTCCACGTACAACTGTGGGCCGATTGCAAGCGCACCCGGAGTTTTGTGCAAACGACAAGTTAAGTCACGGCGCTGGCTGGAGACGACAACAACGAGCACAGCGCTCCGACGCGCTAACTATGGCTGTTAGGCGAAATGCGAAATCAACAACGGCATAGCGTTTGTGGCATGTGGCAGTGGCGTAATGGCGCTAGTAGCGGACAAACGTACGCATTTGCATGGCACATGCGGCATGCGGCATATGCAAGCGGCAAGTAAACATGCGACGCAAAAGCTAAGCGCATACACATACATACAACTATTATTGTTGTTGTAATTGTATTAATGGTTTTCCAATGCATTTCTTATGTTGCTCACGAAGATTTGCGCATGAGAAACACATGCAAAAACAATAAGCGATTTTGTAAAAATATGAAAAAAAAAAAATATTCTAGCAGCAAGTGTACGCTTGGCGTTTGTTGTTGTTGCAAATACAGTACGCGGCTTGTTGTTGCTTTAGTACACGCTCATTTACATAGCAGCATTTGCGTACTCACTTAGTTGTTATTGTCTTAAAATTTTTTTATTTACGCTAAATCTCATGAACTCTCAGCACCAGACCAGCAAACCAACAGGCTTTGACACGGCACTCGCGCTACGCTTGCATCACATCGTGCGCATAGTCAAAAACCCAGGTACTCATACAAAACATTGGGCGTCAACCTCAAACACGTTACATGTAGGCAGCGCCAGCGTCAGAACAATCGAGCATATGTATACAAAACTAGCCGCGTCTGCTAGCTGTGCTGCTCGCTCTCATAGCAGCCATATAGTGCATTTCCCCTGCCACTTTATGGCAAACAATATGGCGCATGCGCGTTAACACGCCCATAAGCGCGTGGTAAGCGCAAGCGGTGCAACTAGCTAAGCGCTTTAACATCACGCCGCCTGCCGCACTCTTCGCGCGCACGTAATCGTTATCGCTTTCCAGTGCATGACTTCCAATTGGAAGCATTCCAGTTGGATGGCTGGTGCGTTTTGCATGTGTTGGTGTACGCTTTGCGCGCGTGTGCGTGACTCTCCTACCATTTTTGTTTTGCTCTTCGCTGTGTTGGTGTGATTTTTGTTGCCATTCATGGGGCGCACAACAACAAAAGGCCAGTCCTGCAACTTTCCTTGTAAAAGTAAACGTAGTTGTGTGGCTTTGTAAAGCTCTTTACAACTATGAATTTTACATAGTTGTTGTTACTGCCATTGCCGCTTCGATTAATGGAGTACGCCAATTTATAAAACGCAGCCGTTCATTGCATTCATTTGCTTACTTTGTTTACTCTCATTCAATGCGTTCTTAGTTGTTGTTATGGCATTGCTACTCTAAAATTCGATTTGGGTTGGAATATTTCGTACTTTTGTTATAGCTCTCAAGTGCCAAGTTAGTGCATAGCGTAGTGTTGATTTGGGGAGTTTATGAACGGTAAAATCATTGGTTTTCTTCGGGTCTTTCTGTAACTGATCTTCAAGCTTACTAGAGTATGCTATGCTTAAACAGGACTTATGACGGAAAAAATCACCATTTCTTATACTTTTTTCTTTTGGAACACAATAGACCTAAAGGTTACAGTTGGGTAGAACTACTTCTCCGCAGGGTCTAGAGGCGCTTGAGTTGATTACACTTTCTTTCCAAAATAGAAATATTTTTTTAATATACATGCATCGCCGCTCATCAGGAAAAAAATACCTTAACACGTATTTCTCTCATAGAAAATGTCTCATAAAAACAATCGTAGTAGGCTTAAAACTGGTAGAGTCCGTCATTCGTCGAATACTATTGGGAATTGCCACGACTTTAGAAAGCTTAAAGAATGTAAAATAAGACAGAAGTCCAGTGAAGTTCCATGAAAAACTTAATGAGCCCGTTAACTTGGATTACAATTTTACTCCGAAATTTCTGATTGCGTATTCAATTATTGAAAGAAATTTTACTTATTTGAGACCTAGGCTTAAATTGGATTAAAAGCGTGTTCAACCTTTTAAAGAAAATTGAGAGTTATTTGAGACCCCGACCAGGGTGAATTGCATTAAAGCGAACACGGTTAGGATATTCAGCCGAAGGATCTTACATCCACAGTCTCTTATTTTTTTTATATCAGTTAGGAATCCTGAAAACTAGGGCCGCAAACAATAGTTGTCTTTTGTTTTATTTCCTGATGCACGAGCAGGTGGAAGAAGCAAGGTCCGGTTACAGTATCCATGAGATTAGATCATATTTCAATACAATGCAATGAAAGAAGAAGATTCTGCACTTAGTCGCCGTCAGAAGGTTACCTAAACAAGAATTGTCAGACACCTCCAGTTTCATTTAATCTTTTGAAATTTTTAGGGTTAAGTGAAGAAAAACTCGAATACTTATATTAGGTCCGCAGACAATATAGTTTATGTTGCTTAGAAGACAGTGTGATTCAAAACAGTTTAATTT